AATTTATGGGAAATTCGGTTTGCGCAAACGTCGATGTATTGATCGTTCAATCTTCAATTACATGGACATAATAATTGTCCAAGGAAAACTTCTCTGCACCAGGAGAGACGAACAGAAACTATTAGAATCTATCAGAACTTTCACAAATTATAAGAAACTGTCAGGTAACCTCAGTAACTGTCAATGTCCAGCTCTTACTACGCTGGGCCTCACGCTGTCCCAAGAAGACTTTCAGAAACACTTCGTATTAACCAACGCGAAAACCAGAACACTGATTGGCGATTCGAGAATGCTTTATTCCTACGCCAATATGTAACCAACAATAAGGTTATCACACACAAGGTGTAAGAATAAACGTTATAGCAATAAATCACGATAATACTTCTGATAGTTTTCGATCTTCCAGTGAACAGCGAACGATGAGATGATGACTGATGGATGGATGACTCCCTTGAAAATATGGAGGAGCTGAGTTTGAGCAAACAACCATGAATTCATCGTTCAATCTTCAACTACATTGACAACCTGCCTGACTTAGTTTTTGTAGTGGCACACATATTAATGTTGACTGCTTGCTATGGACCACTTCGGGGCAAGCAAGCGTTGAAATTTTCTAATAACCATCTCTAGATTTAATTTGCAGCACACATAGCATGCTGGTCATATGAAGAAACACCTTATTTATGTAACGTGTCTATTGGTCTGCTGTAAACGTCGCCCACCGATCCCAGATGCTGAAAATTCCATGCTTGTTCCGCAGTTACCGTGCAGTGTCAGGATATAATCAAAAAACAAAACGTAATGGTAACTTCATTTAGTTTATTTATAGTCCATGCTAGCTTCCTGTCACGGTAGGACGCGTGAAAACATTTGTTCCTGTCAGTGTAGGCCAAAACGTCTCTGCCGTACAAGCCTCCTTACCACGTCGATTGAGAAGCTATAGGTTAAACTGGCTGCGTTAGCCGTCCTTGAACTTCATGCGTATCAGACTGAATATATTGCCAAATCATCTCCGCTTATTGGTTAGAAAGTGAATCTAAGCAGGAACAAGAAAGCGGTATTTTTATGTGACAATAATGCCTAGAATGCGAGATGCTACACGAAAACTTTCAGCTCTAACAGGATAGCAGGTAAATCATATGCATGGCATTAAATGGCTGTGTGAATTACGGAGAAACACTTAAACATCAAGAAATGGTTTATTTATTTTTTATTTTTGATTACAGCTTGATTCCACACTGTATTTTGGTGCAAGTATAGAATTTTCAGTCTGGATATCGGTAGCCCAAACTTCGCAGGCCGACCATAGATTTCAGGTATGCGTCGGCAGGCAATCGAACCTCGGACCATGTGCATGGTCGGCGAGAGTACCAACCATTGTGCCACTGGCGCACAATACTAACCTCAATGCAGTTATTGTATTTTATCACACTAACTCGTCATCGAATTCAGGTAATATGCACTGTCAATGGAATTTAACATTAAACGTTGGTTCATTGGCCTTGGTCGCTATTGGTGGGCAACTCGGAGGCGCGAATGGTTCAGTCCTTTACAGGTTAGAAGAAGACGCAAGACAACGAATAAAAGTACTTCATATTTTGCATTAAACATTTGTTTACAGACTATATACTAACCTTTAGGATTATTAAGCACACGTGTTGTAAGAGACAAAGGATTAGGGAAAAAATATCCGAGAAAAGTGGGGCCTTGCTCAGCTGTGAAGATAGCGGGCTGAAACGTCTGAGAGAAGTTTTTGTGGAGTAAGTCAGCCGGCCGGCGGCTACGCCCAACTCGCTCAGTATCCAATATTTATCTGAATGGGATAATGACATAGACCATCCAAATGTGACTGAGATCACAAAGACTGTATTTGATCAGAACTGGCTAGGTTGACAGGACCCGATGGAATGATTCCATGGGTGCTTGGGGACGGTGGTAACTTACTAATGTCTGAGTTAACTAATGTATCAGGTAGTGCCAGGGGACCAGAGTTAGTTCTTCTACACAGGTGCAAGTCCCTGATTATCGCAGTTTATAAGAAAGAAGACAGGTCTGACTTCGATATTTATACAGCAACAATCACCGGTTATAACATTTTAAACATCATATGAATACATATGTTCAACTTGATGATGAGTTCATTGAAAAGTATCTCTTCGCTGAATCACTTGTTTTCATTTTCTGAACAATGCGAATTTTCTGTGAGCTAAAAACATTTGAACATCAGGAAATGCTTACTAACCTCAATGTAGTTGAAGATTGAACGATCAATTCATGGTTGTTTGCTCAAACCCAACTTTCCCATAAATTTCACGCATGATCAATCTGCCAGTCATCGTCTCATCGGTCGCTGTTCAGAAAGAACCTAAAATCTGACAGAAGTAACATTGTGATTTGTTGTTATAATATTTGTTCCTAGACCTTAGTTTATGATGTTGGTTATATGTTGGTGTTAGAATAAACGATTCTCGAGTCGCCAATCGATGTTCTGGTTTTGGCGTCCGTTAGTACCGAGCGTTTCTGAAAGGCTTTGAGGGACAGCGAGAGGCCCGGCGTAGCAAGAGCTGGGCATTAACGGTTTATGAGACATGACTGCCATTTTTTGACGGACTGATGACAGTTTCTGACAGTTGGTGACAGTGTGTTACATTTTGGATAGCCTCCTTCAATCTTTCCTGGTACAGGCCAAGTCTTCTTTGAACAAGCGTTATCTGAAACTTTCTGGAATTTTGGTCAAGTTCAATGATACCTGGTTCAAAGAAGGGACAGGGCGTCTTGGAAGCGAACAGGAAGGTAAGTCATGTTGACTCGTCTGTTATATGTAACGATGTGTTTGATGCTCAACATGATGCGTTTACTGTTTATGTTTCGCAGTCTAGGGATAATAAGCTTAAGTTTGAACCACGGCGTTTCAGCGGAAACCCAGCTGACTATTTACAGTTTGAAAGGGAGTTTGAAGTTATGTTGAGTTGGCTTGAAATAAATGATGAAATGAAGTTGATGTATTTGTTAGAACACTGAAGACCACTAAACAAACTCCGAAAAGACAATAATCTTGTTATCTTACAAGCTGATAAAGGACAAAGCATGGTGCTAATGAATAAGATATATTATCTCGAAAAAATGCATCAAATTCTCTTTGATGAATCTATCTAAATTCAAATTGGACAATCATGCAAAATATGAAGCGTCGTCGACCAAAAGGAAGATTGTGCAGCACCTACGGCAACTTTTCAAAAAGAGATACATTGATGAAAACACATACAGGAACATCGAACCGATTGGGTCACAAATCCCAAAACTATACGGACGCGTTAAAGTACACAAACCCATACACTCGATGATTAAACTCACGGGACGAACTACAAATAACTGGCAATCTGACAGTGGAGTCTTGTTGCTAGCAGTAAAGGGTTTCCCTCAAACAACTAGCCAGTCACCCTACCTTCCTCTCCGGGAGATAGATGGATAGGAAATGTCAGACATAAATATATCTCTCCATCCCAAACTCCTTCAGTGAAATTCTTTCCAAGGACGGAGTAAACAACTTCCATCATATCAAAACAGTATATGTCAATCACGTCTCATAAACCGTTAATGCCCAGCTCTCGCTACGCTCGGGCCCACGCTGTTCTTCGAAGATTTCGGAAACGCTTAGTTATAACGGACGAAAAAACCAAAACACCGATCTGCCGCTTGAGATCTGTTTATTGTTACACCAACATATAAAAGGAATAAGCGAACTAAGGTCTGAAAACAAATATTACAATAATAAATCATTGTATTACTTCTGATGATTTTCTACTCTTCTTTCTGAACAGCGACCGATGAGACGATGACTGTCGTATTGATGCCTCCGCGAAAATCGGGGAAGTTGATTTTGAGCAAACAACCAAGAATTGATCGTTCAATCTTCAACTCCATTGACACTCCCCGGCAAAAAAGGGATCCAACCCTTTTTTCCTTCACGACCAATGCACGTTGACTTGGATGCCATTGCGAGAACCTGGGTCACACGGACAGAGCTGAAATGGAAAACAAACAGAAAAGCCAACACACCACAAGCATACCCACAGCACAATCTCACACATCAATGACGACCTGCGCCTCCAGACAGAGACCTCCTCTTGACATCTTGCAACACAATCGCCACTTGCTAGAATGACTCTTGCAGAATGCAACGTGACCATGGCAGCACCTCACGATACTCTACGCACATCCTCTTAATTACTCACTACCAATTACCACTGAAATCGCTTGTCACTCATTCTGCCTCAGTTCTAGTAGCGGTGACGCATGCGAGCCTCAGTCGTTTACACTCTTTCTCCCCGGCGTGTCGGACCGCAGCTAACAATTATCTCCGTGTGCATTTCATTCTCAGCAATAGCCTAGCCTCCCCGGCGTATACGACCCATCTGCTGTCCTTAACATCAATCAATTCATTCACGGATGTAGAAGACTCGAAACAACTTCAGAAGTAATCACGACGAAAATTTTAACAAAATTACGCAATAACAACAAGATACGAAAACAACAAGTAAACACAATGAATCCAAAAACACCAATTGATATGACACACCACACGTATACACAAACAGTACAAATAACCTCGCGATCATGTCTTGGTGGAATTATTTTGAAGAATTGCAGGACTTACACCAGTACGCCTGCAACCCTTCACAGGTTGACGATTGTAAGTTGTGGAATGTCCAGACACAAACAAGATTAACCAACAATTACATCAATTGGAACTCACACAACTATTTAACACAAACATATGTACAATCAACACATCAAATGTTGTGGATTCTGACACGACAAACTACCCTTGAAGAACCGTAGGACTTACAGCAGTACGCCTACATTCCTTCTCAGGTTGATGATCCAAGTGGAAGTCGTCCGGACACAAACAGAATTACCAACAGCTAGATGACAGATGATATCAATTCAGTATATACAATATGAACATATGTACAAGATCATACACCAAGCACATTGGACTGCTCATTGATGCGCTACCCTTTGAAGAATTGTAGGACTTACAGCAGTACGCCTACAACCCTTCTCAGGTTGACGCCCTAGGTTGGAAAATCGTCGCAGAGTTCATTTGCTAACTTCCTTCTATCAGCTATATCCTCAAATCTGAACGGCAACACGCCCATGTCATTGTATCGTAGAATATAGATGACCAACAAACACACGACATATCTCATCAACCAAGTATAGAAACAGAGTAATTTACACCAAAGATAATAACATTCAAATAGTAACTTGAAACTAGAAATGCCTTTATTCGTGCAAGTCAATTTAACAATAACTCTCTCCTTTACACTTGGCTTATCCACACTAAACTGACCATTGATATTCGTCCTTTCAAACGAACTGATACTACCATAGTCATTGCACAAGATACTTGAGTTGATGGGTGTCTGTTTCATTGTGGATGACAGCACCAACGATGACTGAGTGACACAAGGTGATGAACTTAGTGGTGGATCAGAAGCTGTTCTTGTTCGGCTCTCAGATAGTTGTCCAACTGCAAGATTACCACCACTGCTGTCTTTCACTACTAGTTCGGGTTTAGCACTATCATCTGATGATAGGTGGGCTACACGCTGATCAATTACACTGACTGTCTCACAAGTATGCACACCTTCTGGAACTGCATCTGCGTTCAATTCTACTTCACGTTGTAGTTGTACAGAACCTTTATTTAACTTAGCAGTAGTAGGCATATCCCGCATCTCATAATGATCAACCAAAGACAAATCTGCACTATCATGATCATTACCACAAATATTCAATTTACCGTCAAGTTCATCATTTTCAAACTCTTTAATAACAGAAGTAGACAATTTTGGTTCCTCCTCAAAAATCATTAAAGGTTTTATATCTTCACTCTGACTAGTAATACCTTGTAAACTTGTAGGGTCAGAACTGCACTCTGAAGCAGCAACTCTATTCTGTGACACTCTATTCAACAACGGCTTACCAGTTGCAACTACAGACTTCTTCACCGCACCGTTATCGTCACACAATTCGGAGTCATGCCTGGAGTTTACATTTAGCTTATCACTGAACTTGCTCACCGGTTCACAGTTCACTTTTGTATGCACCTCTTGCACACGTGTAAAACAAAACCGTGTTTGTCTTGCATCTTGTAACCTATCAGTTGAGGATGTACTACGAAACCTGTTACACTCACTAGGTCTATATGCATTACTAGACATCATGGAGCTTTCTCGATATCCACCTCTCTGAGGCCTACTCGTCATCAATGAGTGCGTTTTACCCTCAGACTGCTCTATTCTATGGGTGAGATCTAACAGACTGGAAAACTTGCTCATAGATTGATTGACACTAGTATTTGCCAGTTTCAGGATATCATCAAACTTTGGCTCGATACCCTCATCCTCCATACGGGAGCTCATCTTCACCCACTTCCTTTGCAGTCGAGTAGGTAGACGTCTTGCTATTACTTCTAGTATAAAACTCGAGTTGAGGTCACTCATTCGATTCATCGAAATCATTCCATTCTTGTAAATTAGCAAATTATCTAAAAACTCAGTGAGTGCCTGGGAGTCATCCTGTAATTGACCACCATTACCCTTAACAGCCTCGAATAATTTCCCTGCAATCATCGAAGGTCTTCCAAACCTTTGACGTAATATGCTCATAGCCTCATCGTAGCCCTCCTTTGGCTTCATAAACTTACAACACTGTATAGCTCTTGAAGCATCTCCAGTGCAATATCTCATCAAATACATTAACTTCAATTCATCATTTAATAAAAAGCCACTCAACATGATCTCAAACCCCTTTACAGATTATAAATAATCGGCCGGGTTTCCATCAAAACACCGTGGTTCAAATTTAGGGAATTTGATGTTCCTATTATCCCTGAACGGCGAAACAGTAACATCAACCATGTCATACTTAACATCAGACACATCGTTACAATTAACAGACAAGTCACCATGACTTACTTTCCTGTTTGCATCCAAGACACTCTGTCCCTTCTTTGACCCAGGCATTGTTGAACTTGACCCAATTCCAAAAACGTTCCAGATATTGCTTGTTCAAAGAGGACTTGACCGGCACCAGGAAAAATGAACGGTGACTATCCAAACTTTCACCAACTGTTTGAATCCGCCAGATCTGTTTCTATCGTCAGAAACTGTCAATCACGTCTCATAAACCGTTAATGCCCAGCTCTCGCTACGCTCGGGCCCACGCTGTTCTTAGAAGATTTCTCAGAAACGCTTAGTAACAATGGACGAAAAAACCAAAACACCAATTGTTGACTTGAGTATTCTATATTGTTACACCAACATATAAAAGGAATAAGGGAACTAAGTTCTGAAAACAAATATTACAATAATAAATCATTGTATTACTTCTGACCATGTTTCACTCTTCTTTCTGAACAGCGACCGATGAGACGATGACTGTCGTATTGATGCCTCCGCGAAAATTGGGGCAGTTGATTTTAAGTAAACAACCAAGAATTGATCGTTCAATCTTCAACTCCATTGACAGTATCTGTGCAGCGAACGTCAAGCGAGTGTCCCCTGAAATCTCCCACCACATAAAACTAGTCTTTCCTGTCTTAACCAACAACCGAAAGTGACTGTTTCATAAGAACAAACCACTAGGTTATAAAAGTGACTAATTAGAACAGAGAATCAGGATCTTAGGCCTTGTTAAGTGGAAAGATCTCCAACAAGAACACAGCAGCATTAACTTCAGTGGGAAAAATTCCAGGGATTTGTAGAGATTACTATGAAGTAGGAAAATACTAATGGGAGTCATAGAGATGTATAACTCTAATGATATTCGACATTAGATGTCGATTTCTGCACTAGTTCCTCAGCCCAGAACCACCTGGTTGAATTCGAAAGACATGACCAAACAATGTCCACAAACTTAACTACACCTCATATAGTAAAGCATACTTCCAACAGGTCAAACCAATGAAAGCTGTGGTGCTTAGGGAATGCCTGAATAATGTCGGCAAGACTGATTAACAATGATGTCGTTCGTCCATATACTCAAATGCTAACAAACGTACGTATCAATGGCTGACCACACCATTCTTAACAGTAAACAAACGATATGGTAGGAAAAGAAGTGTCAAGTGCTACCATGAACTGTTTTGGCACCGTCGCTATCTTCTTTCTCTTGAAACCACTTTCAGCCAGTGGGATGTGTGGTGTTTCTAAGTCTAGCTCCTTGATAGCCTGTTTGTTAAAGCCTTGAATAAGAGTACTTGAATGGGCAGGAGACGCCTCTATCGGAAAACCTCACACAAATGCCAACCAACCGCTCGAAGATATTTAATGTAATATGTGACTTAGCTGAACAACAATGATACAAAAGTGCATCAAATGTGAGAATCCATGTCTACAAGCTGCACAATTCGATTTCAAAAGCATGAATTATGGTTATTACAAGCTAATTTCTGAAAGATACGAACGCTTATTCTCAAGACTGTATTGCAAATATTTGGCATCCATTAGACAAGCTTTAATATGGTGATGGATTTCCGCACAAATAAACAAAATTGTCTATTGAACGTCTTCTGTACTGATTGTCTTCTGTGAGGTAATTCGTGTGAGATATTGACCCTCTATGTTTGCGTTAAATTCCGTCAGTTATCGGATTCTAGTAAAATTCCGGAATGGATGTCTCTTATAAGGAGGGAGGGTGGCGTTAGCTGATCAGTAGATATGGTGGTGGTCACTAAGGTGAATCGCCCCATTCTGCAGGAACAGCAATATACAAATTAAAGGCTCGAGATATTTCTGATTTTTATGAGGGCTTAGATCTTTATCTTGAAAAAGATAATAGTGAACGCCTTGACAGATCATGCTTCTACCTTTAAATATATACCATTCACCCAGCCTTTTGTTGAGATGCGACCACGTGGGATCTGCACAGATTTATGGGGCATCTTATGAATTAACTTGCTATCCATTGTCAGATCTTTAAATACCACTTCAAAATATCTTGTCTCACTTATTTTCTAATAACGTCTTTACTTGATTCTCATTATATTCCATTAAACCTAACATTTTATAGCTCTTTATGAATTTGATTCGACTTATTCTATTCCTATTCTCTGGAGGGTACGGTTGTGTATCAAATAGAAAAAAAGACATGAAATAAAGACAACTGGCTTGAAAATAATTGTATTAAAGCCAAAAGTGAACGCATGATAGTATAAAATATATTGGTTTCATTATACATTGCAAATGAACGTTGTCGGCCTAAGGATTAATTACTTCCCCATTCTGTTTTCTATATAAATGTGTTTATTAATGATATATTTCACTCACTTAATCTATTACACTTTAATGTTACACCACAGCACTTTAATTTTTCTAAAAAAGCTTCCAATTCCTTGTAAACGTTGTACTTACCTCAATATTGGTTGATTATCGTATGCCTACAACCACGGGATGAAAACGAAACGAAGTCGATTTTCCCGCTCAACCTGGAGGACAATTGTACAATTCAATAACTATACAGCCTAGTTCAGACAATGTGTATTTATATATATATCAAATATTTAACTGTTGAGACATTATTAACTTGTAGACAATTTAAGATTTGACATTATATCATCCTTGATCGTGCCTGTAAAAATGGCATGCATTTTCATGTAAATTTATGTTTATATGAAAATAAATTATTATTATTATTATTATTATTATTATTATTATTATGTTTCCATTTAACGCCTGCGTGCTTCAATACTGAAGAAGGCCATCAAAATTCTTGCAATCGACAGACAACTTTAGTCGAGAGGTGTAGGTTTGTGGATATAAATTACTGTGGATGATTCGATGAGTGGACTAGGATGCCATGGAAATGGTTCACCTGGATTTATTCCCGAATTTTGATTTCCTCACACTCTACAAATCAGCGAAGAACCCATTTTATCGTGAAAACCGAAATGTTTTTATAGTCCTATTCTACCGTTCTTATAATTCCTCCCTAATGACACTAAACATAAGCCCAGGAGCTTAAAGTCCATTTGAGACGCAGAAAAGTTTGCTAGATGTCTTTCCTAGATTTCCTTGACATTAGGCAGTGGCGAAAGGGGTTATCGACAAAACAATCTCGGATACCTAGGAAACCATCCTCATGGTTGAAGACAGGGACTCAGCATATTCTGCAATCAAAGCAGAAGGCTTAGTCTACATGGCGATTCTCCTAGAGTCAGACTGATCACGATGCCTACATGGAACCTACTTAGCCATGCCTGTACAATTGTTGTGTCTTACAGATAGGAATAAATATGATAATGATGAATATATGCAACACAAGTCAGAGGTGGCAGGAGGTCATTTCAAGTTAACTTTGCCCAAAAGCTCCCGTCTAGCTGTTAAATCTTGTTCTGATTCATCTCGGAGAGGAGGCAGACGACAAAGTAAGTCCTGATGATTTGTGTAATGTGTATAATTTTATGTCTGATGCTATGCTGGATAATCATAACGTACCAGCCAGAGAGATAAGTTGCAAAAAGCCGCCGAATTTTGAGCCTAAGAGCTTTGAAGGGAATCCTGCTGACTTTCCTCACTTTGTGAAAGAAATTGAAGTCATGCTGAAGGGATTGAAACTAAGTAAAAATAATGTATATTTTCATATAAACATATAAATTTACATGAAAATGCATGCCATTTTTACAGGCGCGATCAAGTACTATACAATATCAAATCGTAGATTGTCTACAAGTTAACAATTTTTACACAGATGAATATTTGATACATATATATAATTACACTCATTGTCTGAACCAGGCCGCATAGTTGTTGAATTGTACAATTGTCCTCGAGGTTGGGCGGGAAAATCGACTTCGTTTCGTTTCCAACCCGTGGTTGCAGGCATACTATAACCAACCAATATTGAGGTAAGTACAACTTCTACAAGGGATTCAAAGCTGTTTTAGAAAAGTAAAAGTGCTGAAGTGAATCATTAAATTGTAATGAAATGGGTAAGTGCA